GTCACCACAAGTCCCATCTGTGTAATGAGACCCTGTAGAACTTTACTAAAAAATATAGAATAAATAAATAAATTTGAAGGGTTAGTTTTCTAGCAATAGTCAACCTACGTATTTTTCAATAACTTTACAATCAACTGAAGAGGAAAAATATTCAGGTGCTTTCTAATAACCAAGTGCAGCAAATACAATGATAAAAATACAAAGAAGATATCATGGCGCATAGTGAGCAGAAGCCCCTGAAGTCCAGGAAAGGCTTTCTGAATAAGATGCTCTAACATGGGAAATTCAGAAGCACGGTGAGAACTATCAAGATGGAAAGAAATTTCCCAGTGCTGCAGTAAAGCAGTGTTAAGGGCTGCAAGGCTTTCTGGATTCAAATTATTAGAAGACAGTGAGACTGGATTAACCTGGAAGAACCGTGTCAGGCACAATCCTGTGACAGGCAATCTGAAGAAGTCTACACCATAAGGTGGGCTGTATGCAGCTATTCAAGGATGTTTTATCTCAGGTAGCATTGCCAATTAATCTTTGGGTCTACCACCTACAGATTAAGGTTGAAAGTAGAAATAGAAGAAAATCTGACAGTAATGCAAGAGAAAGAAACCGTTGCCATAATTCAGAAGACATAACATGAGGCCTTGACTTAGGTATACAAAGGAGACATGAAATGGATTTAGAAATGATTTGAAGATTGAGTGAACAGCATGCTGATATCTGAATTAGGGACAAAGATGAGGGAAAAATTAAGAGTGACTTTCACGCTTCTTAATCTGCAAAGGAAAGTAATCATACCACAGACTCATTTGCATTTATAAGGATAATGCCTTGCAATTCTGCTTTTGAGAGCTCTACGTGAAATTACGCAGCTATATTTAACAAAACTTGGGTTTGTAAATACCATGCATGAAGTAGTTCAGAACATGCAATTCATTAATTTATCCACTAAATTGCTATTGAATACATAGATACCAGTTCCTAGGCATCGTTCTCAATTATTGGATTAGATCAGAACCCTTAATGAAGACCTTTCATAGAATACACTATAATAAAGAAGACAAACATGTCACAACATAGTAAGCCAATAACAAACAAAAAAGTATGATCAGGCTGCTCAGTTCAGATAAAGGAGTCAGAAGAGGCATGGGATTTAGGCGGAGTGGCATAGAAGGTAGAAAAACAAAGTCACCTACAAGGAACAGAAGCAGCAGAGCAGAGGTCAGGGTGGAAATAATCTGACAGGTTTAGCCCATGAGGAAATGAACCAACAACTTGTCTCAGGGATCATTTATTTGAAATTATGATGTTTGTTTTAAAGTTTATATTTGTACAGAATATCAAATAAGATAATTTTTACACATAATTCTTTAAGTAGCACTTAATTCTATACAAAATTCAGAGCAATTTTTGTGCTTATCATAGGTACAAAAGGGTAACTTTGCTTAGATACAAAGTTTTAATACTTTCTCAGTTTGCAGTAAACTGTTTAAGGTTTCTAAATTTGTGGTGTCAGTCACACTTCATTTTTTTATTGGATTTGGTTCAGGGTCTGCAGGGCGTTCAGGGTCTCACCACAGAGATCAGAATCACAGTGATCCTCCTGTTTTCAGCCTCCCAGCTGCTGGGATTACAAGTGCGTGGCACCAAGCCCAGTCTCAGTCCGCTATCTCAGCACACCCTGGGGATGGGGCCGGCACGGCGAGCAGGGATGGAGTCCCAGCCGCTGCGATCTGCCTACGCAGGCGCTGGAGTGCGCTGAGCTATCTGGCCAGCCCTAGAGCTTTAAGGGAACTAAATCACCTATTTTCAATGACAGGAAAAACAAGTGCAGATAGATTTCTTTCCTATAAGCACAGAATTATTTTGAATGGATAACAAAAACCACAAAAGAATAAAAGCTCTGGGACTTTCTTCCTTGAAAGGAAGAACGGTCTCTAAATTGCTGCGTGCAGCTATGCTACATAATGTGGGCTAGGATATCATTCAACTGACTGCATGGAAAGATAAGACAGCCTTATTACAAAGCAGATGATACTTCTATGGAATAGTTACCAGTAATCGCTTGCATCAAAAAGAAGCTAAGCAATTTTATTGTTAAAGAAAGATAGAGGAAATAATACAGTGTTGGTGAATTTGTGCTGTTCCGTTTAGATTTTTTTCCATTGGTTTGTTTAATATAGCTTAGATTTATTGCTGAATTTGATTATTCTCTACAACTACTGAGCTTCTCATATGGTAAGCATGTTGTTAGCATGCTGAGGTAATCTGTTTTCAGTGTAACAACATTGCACATCGCATATTTTATATCTGTAAATATCATCATCCTCCCCATCATGTTTTTCTGGCAAGAATTCACAGAATGTATGTGCTTATAAATTCCTTTTAACAAATGGGATTCCAATGACGTAAGTCATAGAAAGGTGGAGAGTTCTGGGGTACAGGGTTCTCACACAGAAGTCTTGGTCTACTGTTGTGAACCATTTCTGAAATAAAAGCATTTTACTTCCACAAAGACATTGTTAGTGCAAGAATACCTTCTCAACCCGAAGAAATCAATCTTATATGATCATGCTTTCATATATGCATACTAAATACAAATTCCTATACTCGAACAAGTGTGCTCAAGTTCCTGAGAGCTGAGAGGCAAGA